TTCTTTTTTCTCATGTAGATTGGCCTAGAAGATATATGTAGACACTGTAAAGCAGCCTTGCAGAAAATCCAATCTCAACAGCAAGAACTAAGCAGGTGCAGATGGGTGTTAACATTTTCTTCAATTGAAAATGTATTTCCAATTATACTTACCTCCTCTCACACTACAGCTATAGTCTCCTTCCTTTGCCCATTTAAGCATTGGTCTGGTATTTTATCACTTTCTCCAGTCTTTTATTCCCCATTTAATTGCCCTCGGGAATATTTGTCTCATGACACACTCTATCTACATTAATGTGCCTTTTATCCTGGTACTGTATAAAAGCACCTCATTCAGATAATATTAACACTTTTTCAAGACTAACCCAATCCACAGTCTCTAACACTGGCTCTTAGTTGGGAGGGAGGGCAGGAGAGTGTCAGCAGAGGAAAGTATTATTGGAAATACATTTTTGATTTAAGAAAATGTTAACTTCCAAAACATACTTACCTCTTCTCACACTACAGCTAGAATCCCACATTGTTAAGGTGGAGGGACTGGTGAGGGCATTATCCATACAGAATGCACCTGCATAGATCTGGTGCATGCCAATAGAAAGTGATCACCCTAGTCGGAGAGGAGCCGCCCTACATCCAGAACAGGTATGCTCTTCACTCGGAACATAATTCATGCACTGCGGGTGGAATTTGACATGATCCATCATTGTTACTGGCCAAGCCCCAATCAGATAGGTGAGGATCCACTGCTTGGGGTTGGCATTATAATGTCATGGTCCCTACTTCCCATGTTGGTGGTTAGAGCATTTAGACCACAATATATATACTTATGAGTAGATTCCAACCTGTAGCTATAGAGTGATATGTTTTGAGCCACCAGAATCATGACAAAAAGGTAAGCAACACTGAAATGGACAAACTCTCTCCTCAACCTGAATAATTCTGAAAGGCAACATCTCAAACTTGGAATGATGGGATCCTGTATGCGATACTCAACCTGAGGAAACAGAACTCATCTGGTCTGGAATTATGAACAATCATCCTCATTCCCCAACCTTGCGGGCAAGGTAAATTCCACTTATCCCCAGAATTATGGGAAGGATGTGGAACAAACTGTGGTCAACTAAGGACCCAGGATGGGACCACTCTGTGTTTGGAATTATGAGAAGACAATGGACCCTCTTCTATGAACAATCTACTGAACCAATATTGATCAAAAAAGAAGAGCCACACTCAACTCAACCAGATACCCGAGCACCAAATATGAACCAGTATTATGAGTAGTCTCCCATGAGGGCCGATGCCTCTCCAACCAACTTCTGGGGAAAAAAAAATATCCAAGGTCCAACTACAGCCTCTTCTTCACCACTCTGGAGGAATAACCTCTGTCCACCACCCCAGTGACTGGAAACTGGATGTAAGAACTCCCTAGCACCACCAGTAGAATTGGAGGGGGGGGCACATTGGGGAGTACTGAGGAACAAAGCTATGGAAACAGTACAATAGGTGAACCGAATTCCCTAAATTTTTATAACTTGTTCAATACAATGATTAGCAGAGATGGGCAGGATCCCCTTAATTTTTACTCCTGATAGTCTTATGGAACAACTCATTTCTACAGAGCCCATTGCAATCAAGATAAAGTATATTGTGTTAATGGTTGCTACTGTAGAATTGGTTTGATAATAGCACAAGTGCCTGGGCAACATTCACCACAGAGTGGGATCCTGTGAAAAAAAAGAGACCCTGGAAAGTAAAGAAGAGAATATTTGTAATGGACATACTTGCACCTCTTTATAATCTAGTGGATATGGTTAAGATAGCTACAGGGGGTAGTTGAAAACCCTCAGAGGAAGATACTGCCAGATCATACAAATAATGTGAGATAAAAGTATTGGAAAAGTCCACACATCAGCCTGCACAATATCCTTCAGTAGGCAATTCAACTGAGTCACTAAGGACATAGAAATGTGACAAATCTGATGAGACGTGACTCACAGAAGTCTCCTCATCTCCAAAGAGAACCCAGAATAAGCGATATGGATCAATTTTCATACCCACCTCGACAAGAACTAAAATTAAAGATAATTCAAATGAAATTTCTAGCTAATAAGTAATATTTAGAATTGTTATTTCAGATAATCAAGAAAATTAAGGAAAAACAAAGACTAAGTGACTGATAGTAGCAATAACAGCAAAAATTCTAGTGAATCTTACGAAAAAAAAAAGTCTGAAAAAAAATCAGTGCCATAGAAAGAATGAGACTGTGTTCACATGATAATGTTCATGGGATTACTGCACATGGAGGATATGTCACACTCTTATTGGTGAATGGCTATAGTCTAATGGTTATTATTTCACAGGCTGGCACAATACACATTTACGAGTATAGGTGTGAGAGTTTTCTTCAACACTTGTGGTATGCACAGGAATTTACATGGCACTGTGTGAGAGGCAATAGCTCTTTGTGAAGCAAAGAGGTGATTAGCATCTATGAAATACAAATATTACTGTGAAGGTTAAGAAGTTGTACTACTTCTACTGAATTATACAAGAGAATAATATAGATTCAATATATTATTGCAATATTTATATTTATAATCTGTCATTTGGTACCAGTGTATTATTCAACTAAAATAATAAGACCAGACATGATTTAATACCTATAATCTAATTTTTAATACTTTTGGATCTCTTAACTATGTAATTGGTATCGTGGGGTTATTACCATGTACAGCTGATGAATGTTAAGTAAATTAGAAAAGTTGTGGGCTTACATACTCAGACTTTACTTATTTTTTTATTATTGTTTTTCAGTGCTTACATATGAGTTTTTCACCTGTAATATGAAAGTTAATTGAAGAATAGGTCATCCCCAATGCTTGTTGGTAATCTTCTGTAGTTACTTTCCTCCATTTTATACTTCTTTGTAACTTTTCAGCAAGTGTTGTAACTTTTTTTTTGTTTTGTTTTGTCCAGTAAATGCATTTGAGTCACTATACTCAGCTGTCAATTTCATTGAAGATAATTTCTAGAATGTTATTTTGTGTAACTATTTTACATCTTAGTTTGTACTCTGTTCATATTTATGATAATTTCAATTATACCAATTCTTCTTTTGAACAATAACTTATTAAATGATTTATATCTAAATCTCAATAATTTTATATCCACTAACTTCGGTAAGTTCAGATCCAAGATTATTTTTTAAAGTGTTTTATTTTATTAATACTGATTGATAAGAGTAATTAAATTTGAAGTAAGTTTATAATTATGTAACTCGCATATGTAATGTGTGAATACATATATATAATTAATTTTCATGATAATGGTGTGTTTAGTTGTAATTACAAATAATTCTCATCAGGTCAGAGTAGCATCGTTTATCTAAGATGTATATAAGTTAACTTGAAATGATAATTGGTACTGCATTTTGTATGTATTCACAAATCCATCAAACATCACAGCAGCATGAAAATATTTAAAAAAAAAAATTCATCACTTTTACTAAAACAACAAAATAAAAAGTGATTATTACTGATTGTTCTTCATCAGCACTAAAACTGAAATAGAACAAAAACTAATTATATGATCAGACTGGCAAAAAGAAATTAGTGGCTTTGTGACTACCTTATTATGACATGCATGAATATTTTTATCATCAACTGTATAGCATAAACTTCCTGTGAAGAGAAAAAAGGAAGAATGAAAATGTAACATGTGAAAAACAAACAAGTTAATTTGTATAAGAAATCAAAAAAGAAAAACAAAATGCTTGCAATAGAAACTTCAGAACTAAAAGTAATTATAGAGCATACACAGATTTAAAATTAAGTGAAAGAAAACTTCAATATGTGTTTGTGTGTATTTATATGTATAAAACATGAAACAAGAAAAAAAAACTGATTTTTTTCCTTAAAAAGAAGATATTAATGGTAAAAGGTCAGTGACAACTCAGTCAGTTCAGGAAACAGAGAATGATGATATTTAAAGTGACAATCTAGTAATCTATTTTACCTTTTCTGGTTGCTTTAGATTTAAATACAGTACAAAGAGCTATAAATTACATCATTCATGGTATACCAGAATAACTGAAAATTAAGGAAATTGAAAGGGCCTTCTTACTGCATATGAAAGAAAAATGCTTGATTAGAGGCTTCTGTGCACTGTATCTGCCTTAGATAATGATTATGCAGATGACAAAAAAAGACATTACACAAATAAAACATTCTTCTTTTAACTCACTGTAGAAGCTGTTCTTTTAATGTTAAATGTATTCATTGAATAATTTTTAAGAATTTTATATATTTATCAAAATTGATGGTTAAACTTATACTGTTTTTCTTTTTTATCAGATTTGTTACAGATATCACATAAAAATGTTGTACAAACCAAAATGAGCATTAAGGAAAAAATAACTAACTAAAGATCATTCATTATCACCAACACAAACTTTCATCACCCATGAGTTCAGTCAACCTCATCATTCAATCAATAATATAACCCTTAAAGGTGTCTAAATTGGGATTAAAACTAAATCAGTTACATGTAGGGATTAAATAAGCTTATTGTACTGTCCCTCTGATTATTTTCAATTTCTAAGATATTAACAATGCCTCAGGAATCACTGATCTTTAAATATAATTATCTTATGCTTTGGAACCAAATTAACATATATCTTCTTATCTTATCTGGTAGTGCCAAGATTTATTTATAGAACTTTTGAATATGCAGTATGTGTATATTTTGTTATTAGTCTTTTTCCTGGCCTCCACTCCTTAAGGACTTTATCATTCCTTTATGTTCCATTTCTTTCTTACTTCTCTCACTTACAAACAAAGTAAATGCTACTATATATATATAGACAAAATAAATCCCAGTATCAAAGTGCAAACATCCACATTCTCAAGGTGAGGGTTATTAAGTTTTTGTTAATGTTAAATAATACAAGTTATGAAACATTCCATATGCACATACATCATTCAGTTTAAAATTTTAACTTACCTTCTTTCGTTGTTAGGGACAATACAATTTGGTCATTGATACTTTCAATTACATCACCTGGCTCTATCTGGAAAAATTAAACAAACTGCTGTAATAGTCAAGTTTACATCAAATAGCAGTTACTGCAACAATTGATAATTATCTTCTTGATAAAAAATACCAGATTTATTTTACCTGCAACATAGAATAGAAAAAAATGGATCTGTTATTTACTGTATTTATTTTAAGGTGACTGCATATACTTTATATGTGATGGAACATACATGCATGTGTAAAATATATAAATGAAGATGTAAATTGGTTAATACCAAAATATTCATTATGCTCCACATAGGTATCTTAAGACTGGTGGTCTTAGCTCAACATATATTTCACACTAGTGGTATTTCATATTAATTGTTTATTATGTGGATGAAACAGAAAAACATTTAATTTTCTGGTGGGTAAGCTTGAATAACTGTTAAGCACAAAACTGTAAGCAATTAATTTTATAATACATGCATGTTCATGTATGTTTTAGTTACTTATCGAAATATAATAAATTAGGATGTGAATTCCTTAAACATAATTACACAGGTTATTTGAAACAATGGAATTACAATAATAATAAAAAAGTGACCTTCAGTTATTTTATTTTCTGAATTGATATATATATATATATATATAAATTGTTTTGAAAGACAGATTTAGAGATGTACAGTACAGTTAGATTTTAGATTAATCATCTAAGTTCAGTATCATTAAACAGTAAAACATTAGTTTAAAATTTAATGAGGAAGCTTTGACTTATAAACTAATGTATGGAAATTCATTTACTTAATGATAGTTCCTTGTGGCTAAGAGAAAAAAAAACTTTCTAATTAATTTAGTCAATGCCTAACTATTTTCAGATAAACACTGCAAGTCATTAATGTAAGAATATGGAAAACTTCAAAAATGATCCAAACATGTACTTGACTAGTTATTCCTTATTACATATGATAGAAAGGTATCAGAGTTGTCAGCCTTAGAGAAAAAAATTTATGATTGATCCACTGGTACAAAGAAGCAAAGTGATCAAGTGTGTTTCTGTGGAAGTGGTATGGCTCCATTTTCCCAAGAGGAAATATTTTCTAGTAAAGTTTCTTATAGTGAAGTATAAATATAACAACAGTCTTGATCATCTAACATGACATGTAGCCACTTTCCGGATAGATTTCCATGGGAGAAGGACCCTTGGAGACAATTTTGGAAAGTAGAACAATTTCACTGATATTGGTACTGCAAAGCATTCCAGTCACACCACAATGTAACAAATTCAGGACATATTCACTGTAATATCAAATTGCATTACTTTTGAATTAATGCAACACAGTAGTCACCTACTAAGCAATCACCTCCAATCTATTACTGAGGATTACTGGGTAAGTCCACTACTACTCTCTGCCTGTATGTAGACATTATAATTTGTTTATTGCCTGCTTTTGAGGTGGTTGTCCATGATGAATAGGGAATTAAAATAACCTAGAAAGGCTCAAGATATTCAGTCATATGGTATCAATACACTTACAGTGTGAAGCACTATAGATCTGTGCAATACACAGTAAAACTGCATGAGTTGCCAGCTCTGGAGCATGAGCAACCTACATCCTAATTTTCAACTACACAAGAAAGAACTGTTCATGGTGGATATGGAGTAAATGAAATTCCAGACAAATCCAGACTACATATTTTAGTAACTTTCACTCTCTTTTTTCACTGTTGTAGCAGTAATTTGTCTTTTGTTCAATAAGATACGTTAAAAGCAAAATACGAGAACCAAACTCTGAGAGAGCTTGCTATCTATAGTATTTGAGAACAATAATGTACATTTGGCAACAGAATTTTCAATGTAGATATGATAATCTATGACCTATAATAATGTATTCTCATCTAAACTACATTTTGCCATTTTTATTTAAAATCATTTTTAGGGGTAATTATAAAACTTGGTAAGTTTGCATATTTTAAAATATGGGAAAAATCTGTTCTTGCTCTGGGCAAACATCATAGGACTAAATAGATCTATGTACTCAATACAACAAAAGGTTGCTAAGGGTATCTTATTTAAATAACATAGTTTTTAAAGAAAACAGATAAAGAAAAGACAAAAGTCTTACTGCAACTATCATGGAGTCACTCTATGATACAGTATGAAATACTTAAAAACATTTATTTATTTTGCAACTTAATTCTATATATATACTGAATTAAATACTAATAATTTATAAGAAAACAGTGATTTGTTCTTTTATTAGATAAAAATTACAAAAAATAGGTTTACAATTTTTAATCAATTGTTTTTGCTTACTCTGTGATCTGAAAATGCATTAAGCTGTAAACTTTTATTTTTTGTTTCTAGCATTATGAAACCATACATACACTGCAACTCTTAAAAGTATCAAAACAAGTGTGATACCAAAAGTTTACAATAAAATAATTAACTAAATAAACCTTGTTTTTAACTCCATCCATTTTTGCATGCTATATTAGCATATAAATGTATCAGCAAACACATAACACCATGTTTTTATATTCACTAGCAATATGACAGTGAAACATATGCCCAGAAAACCAAAATTACTCGTATAGTTAAAAGTTGCACTAAAACCTTTTGTGACATCAGCCAGAAAAAAATCATTATACATAGGTTTGCATTCCAAATGTAACTGTTAAAAGATTAAAAACTGATTTTAATTTCTACGTAACCAAGCAGAATTTGAAAACAATAAATAAATTTTCAGCTCTTTCTCCATGTGAATATAATGAGTTTTGTCAATTATTGATCTTTTTTTTAATCATGGATTTTTCATAAGACTAATGAATTCTTCATATATTAAAAATATTGTTTCAAGAAGTCCAGAATTATCTTTTAATTATGCTCCATTCCAGTATATAAACTTACTAATATTAACTTCAGATCTAAACAAGCTATCTACATAGAATAGGACTAAAAATAATCCTATATTGTGACAAATATGAAATATTTTGAAAGGATGTCACACCATCCAATAGAGTTTGAATGTTTCCCCAAAAGAATTGAAATTGAGATCGAGTAGGATCTGGGCATGCATCTCTACTGATTAGGAATATGCTTTGTGCAATTAAGCTGCCAATCTTGAATCCCATAAATGTCAGTTTTCAGTTTACTGGTTATTAAGGAAGGATTTTAACAAGGCAGTTAAGCCAGCTGACTTCTATAGATCAAGATCTGGTTACTGTTTGTCTGACTTTTTGTTACTGGAAGTGACAATTAAAAAGAATTATTTTTGAAGTGGCACACCTTTCCACTAAGTTTAAATTTTTCTGAAAAAGTAAAAATTCCAGTGATTAATGTAGTTTACCTAATGTTTCTCCCTCACAGTAACAAAAAACAATGATAAGTTATTTCTCATAAAATATATTTTTTAATCTTTAAAGACTACTTGTATATAGTCGGGTCTAAGTGCGTAAATTTTAAATCAGTGTACATCATAAGACATGTCTCCCTACCAAATTTCCTTAAGATCTTTCATATACTATTTGAACAAATTAAAATCATATATGTTGTGTGAATTGTGATTACTGTTGGTGGATATTTATAGGTATAGGTAAGCAGGTGGTGGTATCTAGCTCGTGGGAGGCGTTAATTGGTGGAATGTTGTATTGTGGCTTGGGGGTTTCTCGCCAAGAAGCAGCAGTGTGCGTGCTGTTCCTGTCGATTGTTTGTTGATCATGGGAGATTGCTGTAGGGTTTTTAATATTTCGTGAATTTGAAGAGTTGTGAAGTCGTTAAATAGTTCTCGGTCCTGAAGTGTGAGTTTTTGGTTGTGGATGCGGGCACAGTGTTCTTTGATGGCTCCATTTTGTAAGTGCGTCTTGACAGAGTTGTGGTAGTCATTCCGATGTA